GCTTACTTACACACCGCAGAATTCAGATATCTGTCTCCATCCACTTGAGGTGCCATAAGGAAATGATGAGACTGGGTAATTTATAAACAACAGAAGCGTAGGCCCTGCAGTTCTGGAGTTCAGGAAGTGCAAAGTTCAGGTGCCAGCGGATTGTCTGATGAGAGCCTTTTCCTCATACATGGCCTTTTTCCCCCAAACCTTTTTTAAAGAAATACAAACTTCATGAATTTAATAAGTACAACTTTAGGAATATAGTGATTCTTCCCACCATACCTGCCCTCCCACCTGCACTCCCACACTTATTTCTCCTCCCTCTCCTATTCTCATTTTTATTTTTCACTAGGATGTATTTTCAATTAACTTTATACACATAAGACTAACTCTATACTAAGTAGAGAGTTCAGCAAATACTATGGACAAAAAAGGTGTTCCTCAACTGTCGAGTCAAGGGCTGTTCAAAGTCATCACATCTCAAAGTGTCAATTTCTATAGATTAACTTTTAGGTGCTCTATTAGTTATCACAGGTCAGGGAGGACATATGGTATTTTTCCTTTTGGGACAGGCTTATTTCATTAAGTATGATGTTTTCCAGTTTAATCCATTTTGTTGCAAATGACAAGATTTCTTTTTCTTTTTTTTCTTTTTTACCACTGTGTAGTATTCCATGGTGTACATATTCCATGATTTCTTTATCCAGTCTTAAGTTCATGGACGTTTGGATTGATTCCATATCTTAGCTATTGTGAATTGAGCTACAATAAATATCGGATACAGGTAACACTTTCATATGCTGATTTCATTTCCATTGGGCAAATTCCTAGGAATGGGATGGCTGGGTCATATGGTAGGTCTATATTCAGATTTCTTTGATATCTCCATACTGCCTTCCACAATGGCTGTACCAGTTTATATTCCCACCATCAGTTGGTTAGGGTACCTTTTTCCCCACATCCTCGCCAGCATTTTTTGGTTTTAATTTCTGTATGAAAGCCATTCAAACAAGGGTGAGGTGAAACCTCATTGTGCTTTTGATTTCCATCTTGCTGATGGCTAGCCATCCTGAACATTTTTTCATGAGTCTGTTGGCCATTTGGCTTGATTTTCTGTTTTGAAAAATGCCTGTTTAAATCCTTTGCATATTTCTTAACTGGGTTGTTTGTTTTGTTGTTGTTGAGTTTCTTGATCTCTTTATATATTCTGGTTATTAATCCATTATCGGTTGAATAGTTTGCAAATAATTTTGACTCATTCTGTCAGTTCCTTTTCATTTTGCTGAGTGTTTCTTTTGTAGTACAGACTTCTCAATTAGATGTAATTCCATTTATCAATTTTGATTTTGATTGCCTGTGGCTCTGGGGTCTTTTCCAAGAACTCTTTGCCTATGCCAATGTCTGCCAGGGTTTCCCTAATGTTCTCTAGTAATTTGATGGAATTTAGATCTTTGATTTTGAGTGGATGTTTCTGTAAGGTGTAAGTTAAGGGGTTGCTTCATACATCTGCATGTGGAGATCCAGTTTTCCAAGCACCATTTGTCAAAGAGATTGTTCTTGTTGCAGTTATTGATTTTAGCTCCTTTGTCAAAGATAAGTTGGTTGTAGATGTGTGGGTTGATTTCTGGGGTTTATATTCCGCTTCATTGGTCTACCCATCTGTTTTTGTACCAGTACCAGGCAAAAGTTGATTATAACTGCCCTGCAGTATGTCTTAAAATCAGGTATTATGTTCCCTCTGGCTTTGCTTTTGTTATTTAAGGTTACTTTAGCTAATCGTAGTCTCGTGTGTTTCCATATGAATTTCAGCATCATTTTTTTCTTAATCTGAGAAGAATATCCTTGGTATTTTGATTCATATTGCATTGAATCTGTAAATTCCTTTCAGGAGAATGGACATTTTGATGATATTGATTCTTCCAATCCATGAACATGGAAGGTTTTTCCATTTTTGTGCATCTTCTTCTAGTTTTACTTCCTTTTTAAAAAAGATTTATTTATTTTACTTGAAAGTCAGAGTTACACAGAGAAGGAGAGGCAGCGAGAGAGAGAGAGAGAGAGAGAGAGAGAGAGAGGTCTTCCATCCACTGGTTCACTCCCCAATTGGCCGCAATGGGCAGAGCTATTTCGCTCTGAAGCCAGGAGTCAGGAGCTTCTTTCAGGTCTCCCATGCAGCTGCAGGGGCCCAAGGGCTTGGGCCATCTTCTACTGCTTTCCCAGGCCATAGCAGAGAGCTGGATCAGAAGAGGAGCAGCCAGGACTCGAACCGGAGCCCATATGGGATGCCGGCACTGCAAGCAGCAGCTTTACCCTCTACACCACAGCGCCAGCCCCCTATTTCTTTCTTTAATGTTACAAAACATTACAAAACATTCTCATTGTAGAGATTTTTGATGTCCTCCTTTTTAAAAATTTTATTCTAATGTATTTGATTTTTTTGTAGCTATTGTGAATAGAATTGATCTTAGAAGTTTTCTCAGCTATGGCGTTCTCTCTGTACACAAAATTATTTTTGTGTGTTGATTTTACATCCTGTTACTTCACCAAACTCTTTTATGAGTTCCAACAGTCTTTTAATGGAGTATTTTGGATCTCCTTTTTATAAAATCATGTCATCTGAAAATATTGATAGTTTGACTTCCTCCTTTCCAATTTGTATCCTTTGATTCATTTTTCTTGCTTAACGGCCTTGGCTAAAACATCCAAGACTATATTGAATAGCATTGGTGAGAGTGGGCATCCTTGTCTGGTACCGGATCTCAGTGGGAATGCTTCCAACTTTTCCCCATTCAATAGGATCCTGGCTGTGGGTTTGTCATAAATTGCCTTGCATGTGTTGAAGAATGTTCCTTCTGTATCCATTTTGCTTAGAGTTTTCATCAAGAAAGGGTGTTGTATTTTATCAAAGGCTTTCTCTGCATCTATTGAGATACTCATATGGTTTTTGTTCTTCAGTTTTTTAATGTCATGTATCACATTAACCAATTTGCAAAAGTTGAAATATCCTTATATACCTAGGATAAATCCCATGTGGTCCAGGTGAATGATCTTTCTGATGTGTTGTTGGATGCAAATAGCCAGTATTTTCTTGAGGATTTTTGCATCTATGTTCAACAGGAAAATTGGTCTGTAGTTCTCTTTCTCTGTTTTATCTTTTTCAGGTTTAGGAATTAAGGTGATGAAGTCCCCTATTACTATTGTATTGAAGTCTATGTCTCCCTTTAGATCCTTAAGGATTTCTTTTAAATAGCAGGTGCCCTGTTATTAGATGGTCCTTTCATTCTTGCTTTGTCCACACATGTAGAAGGGCCAAGATCGCTCCATTCAAACACTTTTATAAAGACATCAATCCCATTAGGGAGAATGCTACTGACATGCCCTCACCAACACTTAATTTCCCCTCCTCTTAAGAGCCAAACATTTCGATCATTAAAATAGCCACCTCTAGAATGCACAGATGAGGTTAGAATCAGACATGAATTTAGGATTCATTATATGCAGATTAAAATCTGGATGTAAGTTCTTAAACATTGTGTAGGACAAGGAGGAAAATCTATCCAGGACAGCATCTCAGCACATTTTCAAATTTAGAGATTGGAAGAAGAAGAGGCTTGGTAATGGAGAGCCTGCAGGTGTGACCACTGTGGAGGAGAAAAAATTAAGGAGAGCAGTGTCAAAAAGAACCAAGAGAATGAAACAGATCAATTACATGAAACACTCCATCACCTCCTGTGGTGAGGATATTAATATCACCATTGGGTTCGACAACATGGAGTACAGGTAACAACAACAACAACAAAAATATCAGGGGGCTGGCACTATGGCGTATCCGGTAAAGCTTCTGCCTGCAGTGCCGGCATCCTGTATGGGTGCCGGTTCGAGTCCCAGCCTCTCCACTTTAAATCCGGCTCTCTGCTGTAGCCTGGAAAAGCAGTAGACGATGGCCCAAGTCCTTGGGCCCCTGAACCCACTTGGGAGACCCAGAGGAAGCTCCTGGCTTCTGGCTTCAGATCTGCACAGCTCTGGATCCATTGCAGCCACTTGGGGAGTAAACCAGAGGATGGGAGACTTCTCTCCCTCTGCCTCTCTTTCTCTTTGTGTAACCCTGCCTCTCAAATAAATAAATAAATAAATATTTTTAAAAATATCAAGAAATAGATAAGAAAAATAAATTATATGTAGAAGAGAGAAAAGTGTGCTTTTTTCAAAAATCATGCCAATTTAATAAATCTAACCTTGACAATAGATCTTTTGTAAATTATATATACAATGTATGTGTAATGGAATTATAATACACAACTTTTTATTGCCTATGATTGTGTGGATTATAAATTGACATTAGTAGATATAATACTTTAAGTCTTTATGGCAGAGTAATTGAAAGTGTCATACCATTTTGATGTGTTCTCTACTAATAGACATTCTCATTTGGTCATAAGAAGAACTGTAGTTCTCAAACATTGTTTTATAAAGAATGTTTAAAATACATAAAATATGATTTCTTAATTTTAGAACTTAATTCCATGGTCCCAAGAACATGCAAATGAACTTAAAAGAATTATAATGATCCACAATTTATCGAGTATTAAATTAAAATATGTAACTTGATGTATTATAGCTAGATTTATACAGTAAGCTTGTAATATTGCCTGGATCATTGATTCCTGAGAAGTAATTATGACTTGCATTTATCATGTTACTGCGGGATATGAAATTCACAAGCCATAAATGCAGTTCTAAAATGTAAATTAAAAAGGAAACTTAATTTTAAGATATATAAGTACATATTTAGTATTAGTTGAGATTTGCAACTTTGAAATACAAATATGGTTAGCTGTAAGATCTAAACTAATCTTATCGATATTCAAGCTTTAAAAATAATCTGAATTATAGTTCTATACCTTATTTCAATAACACAGCTAAAGAACTATGGGTAAACATTCTATATTGAGGAGGAATGGATTTATTGCATGATTATAGCCATTTTCAAATGAAGTATTGCATTTTAGTTTTCTAGTTTAAAAATGTCCTCTCCACCCTGATGGATTTCCCATCCTACTTTACCTACAAAACCATCACAGATGTTTTGGAAGTGGGGTCTTCTGAAAAGTAATCCAGGTTAGTACAATATCACTAACTTATTTTGCTTCCCATTTATAACAAAAATCTGTGAGGTGACTGGAATGGAGCTGAGTCATCATAAATTATGTTGCATCTTTCTATGCTACTGTAGTTTAAAAAGTCCCCAACATGTCAATTACCAGTTTTCATCTTTGGAGGTTTTCACAGTCATAAAACTGTGTTGGAACACAACTTAAATATTTATTATTTGGGAAAAAGCTTTCAGAACATGCAAGGAAAAGACTGTAAACAGACCTTTTCATATTTATAACCTCCCTATTACCTAATGACTATTCAAATAAATGTTTCAAATGATGTGTAAATGTATGTCAGAAATTACGAAAAGTCTAAGATGTTACCCATCTTCACAGGTGGGGACAGAAGCCTGGATAAGATTTGAGAGCTTTCTTATAACCATACCACAATCCACATAAGAAGTAATCACAGTGACTTCCAGGCCCTGCCAACCTGACAGCAACATCAGGAAAGTCAGTTGGGAAAACTACCATATTCCCACTGCAAGCTCACTTCATGAGCAGGGCTTGGGCAAACATCAGTTTCCTGCATTTGCAAAGGGGAGACAAATGATTTTTTCTGTCCACTTCTCAGAGCATTTCCTTGGAAGGAAAACGATGCCTTAACCTAGGTGCGTAGGTGTTTGAAGGAACTGTGGCTCTTCCACAGGTAAAGGAAAATTCTCCTGAAGGCAGCAATTAGCTTGACCATTAGGTTACAGATCTAACAATTCAAGCAAGCATTTGATGTGTGGATATTGTCTAAGTTTCCATTACTGAAGAAGCAGACTTCTACGGGAGCACTGAGAAGACAGGATGATTCATTTTCTCACAATGTAGAAACCATTGTAAAATAATAAAAATCATCTCAATAAGCCTCAATTTTGTTTCCATAAAATTATTTTAAATATGTGTTCTATAAATATGCTATAGGTATTATGCATACTATAAATGCATACTACATATAATTTTTGGTTCATAAAGGATTTTTACAGGAGAGGGTTTTAGCAATGACAACTATAATATTTTTATTTTATCATCATTAATTTATATATTATTTAATAAATTTTGATAACACTGAAGTGAAAATGAAAGTTATTGAATTTTTAATTGTGTATTTAATTTGGAAAGTTTAATTTGTTTTACTTTGTATAATATTTCATTAAATGTTGATACTTAGATCATATTCACTTGAAGATTCTTTTCTTAATTTGAAGTTTTTATTTAATTGATAATGAGACAGAGACGAGTTCCCATCTGCTGGTGTATTCTGTCAATGTCTGAATTGGCCCTGGACTGGGGCTTGAAGACGGGACCAGGGAATTCAATCCAGGTTCCAAGGTGGTTGAAATGGACTCAACCACTTGAGCCATCAGTGCTTCCTCTAAAGTCTACATTAAGAGAAACTGGCATCAGAAAAATATCTTGGTGTCGAACCCAGGTACTGCAATATTGGGTACAGGTATCCCAACCAGTATCTGAACATCTAGGTCAAGCACCTATCTCCAAAGATTCTTTGGAAATGAGAAGCAATGTTCATAATTAGTGGGAGAAATGAATATAGTATATGAAATAGAGTAAATATAAATGTTTATACAAGCAATAATCTATTTCAATACCCTATATTAGTTATTTGTATTATGTTATTAAACATACACACAGTCACATCTGCATACAAGCACCCACACTCAAGCATGCTATAAAAAGTTTGTGAAGATAGAATTGAAGACTAAGTTTATTTTGATGCAAAATTTTTAAAATCCATATATATGTCATACATATATGATGAATCTTCAATAATTTCACGAAAATGTATGATGAAAAATGATGCATGTGTTCCAAAAAGTTTTTGCTCCATAAACATCTTTTAATACCATTTTCCCAAAAACTTTTTGAAATCTTTATTTAAACCTAGCTATGATTTTTTTTTAAATTTTTCATACAGTGAATATTCCATTCTCCTGCAAACTTGGTAGTAGACAGAGCACATTTCTAGGGCTGGAACCGCAACAACGGTGTCCTTGCTTAGCACTTTTTCTAATTCAGCATTAGTTTGCACTCAGCAGAGTCCTCAATTACTTTTCAGTTTGGCTTTCAGTTATGGTTGGGGGGCTGGTCTGGAATTTACAGTATTCCTCTTATCTGTGGGGAGACATTATAAGACCTGTGGATGCCCAAAACCATGGAAGCATCACACTCTACACATGCTTTATTCATCTGTATGTATAAGTGCATATATCGTATAGAATTTGATTTACAAATTAGGCACAGTTATGTATCAACAGTAAAATAATCATACAATAGAACGATTATAACAATATGCTGTAGGAGAAGTTACAGGAATGTGCTCTGTCGTAAAATGTCATGTTTTTTATTTGCCCGTCTTCTTGTGATGATGTGGGATGACACAGTGCTCACACACTGAGATGAAATGAAGTCAGTGTCCTAGGTCTTGAGACAGCATTCAGCTACTACAGAACAGTTACTTGAACACGAGCATTGAAATACAAGAGTGAATCTCATAACTGAGACTGCTACTAAATTGCCCAGGCAGAGGGCAAACGCACAGCCTGGGTGCAGTAGGATTTCTGTCCCAGATGAGGAGGGACAGGAAAGTTTAAGATTTCATCACACTATTCAGAACAGCACATGAGTTAAAATTTATGAATTCTTTATTTCTGTAATATATTCTAACTGTAGTTAATCTCAGGTAGCTGAAACCAAGGAAAGTGAAACCGTGGGTAGGGGGCGCTATTGTACGGTGGCCATGAAGATTCTAGGAGCTCTGTTTACTCAAGGTTTTTCTTATCTCACCTTGATTGTCTTTTCTCTAAGAACTCTACAGTACAAACACGAGCTTATGATGTCTTCAAGGATGGTCCCATGATTTCATATTAATTCTAAGCAATGGGATGTCTTAATGAATATAAGGTAAACATTGCAATATCAGGTGTGTCATTAAAATGCAAATTTTGTGAAATAAAATTTGACTCACATGTACACACGTGTACTCACATGTACAACTCTGATCAGTGCTAGAGTTCTAGAAGCTGATCCAGTGGACCAGGACACTTTTCATCAGAAGTTGTGCACTTGCTGAAAAAGCCAGTACTGGAACACAGTGGCACTTACGGGTCTTCTGTAGTAGAAAGTATTTGAAGGATTATATTAGAAACCAAGACTTCTTCATGCCCTTTATAAAGCTGGCTGCTCATTGGATAATTTTATATAAAACTGATCCAAGCACACCTCTTTTTCTGCAAGGAAACCAGAGGCCAGGGGCAGTTCACTGAGGTTGCCTGGCTGTTGTTATTTCAAGGATTTGACCTGCGGTTGTACTTTTCTGTTCAGAAGCACTTTAGCAAACACCTGGGAATCATGTCAAAATATTTGAAGATTATGGGGTAAAAAGAAAGATAGATTTGAACTTTACCTTTCTAGCTGTCTTCTTCCCTCACACTTGGTGCATACAATTCAAAGAAATAAGATTGTGTCACTTCATTAAAAGACACTGCTCATTTTTGAAATTATAAAAATGATTAATATTCATTGTAAGAATTAAAATAGTCATCATGGTGGACATAGAAATAGCATAAAAACTCAAAAAGATAGTTTGAACATAATAACTTTAATACATACACAGTAAATTCATCCATTTTATCTTTCAAGATACTAACAAAATAAAGATAAAATATGATTACACAATAAAGCCATGTATATATTTATATATTGTGCCATATATACCATATTAATAACAATGCTAATATAGAACAGGTATAATATACAATGAATATTATATGATTCTATTTAAATATATATTTTAGGTCATATAACTTGGTATTAGAACTTATTTGATTATGGCATCATACTATGAAATGTCATTTCCTATATTATCAAAATATTACTTTACTCATATCTATTAAAATATTGTGTTACAATTCTTATGTTTTCAGCATTTTAAAATTTGTAACATTTTTCTCATTCTAACTAAATATTAAGTTCATTCAAAAATTACCTTATTGAGTATTAATGTGTATGTTTACATCATATTTTGAATTAAGAAAGTATTCCTCCATACTTGTTATCTTTTCTACACATACTGTTTATAAAAAAAACAGATAAATTTCTTTTTATTTGTTTTAGTGTGTTTTTAAAAATAACACTCAGGTGAGTACTCTTTTATATGACTAAATATTGGGTCTTAATTATTATCTTAGTCTAAATAGACTGTTTAGGGCTATTCTATTAACAGTCCTATATTTTACAAGAAACTCTGATAAAATTGTAAAATTATACTCCTGACAGATGACAGTGGTTTGCTTTATTATCCCTGGGCTATAAAACTGGACATTTTATTATACCCTCATGAACACTGAATGCTATTTCTAAAATATTTTCTGTGTTTGGGAACATAAAAGTGTCATTTAATCTGTGTTGTAGTTTATATCAGTACAATGAATGTCATTCTGTAAGTGCTGTAATGTTTGATCATGATAATTTGGAATGTTTTGGTCATATGCTTTTGCCTTCGCAGTTCTTCTCTGGGGGATTTTCTGGTCATTTTCCCACAGAAAATTCCGAGCCTGCATATAGCTGGTCTCAGTTATCTAGGACATTAATATTGTCTATCATATTTGCTTTTTTATCAATTTATTTACTTTTCATTTTATTTGTTCTAAATTGAGACGCACAAAATTAGAAAACAGTGAAATATATTGCTCTTTGCTATTCATTTTGATGCTTTGATGCATGTAAAATCTATCAAATTTGAGATTGAGTTTTTCAGTCACATTCTTTAACTGTAAATTGTTTTAGCTCATGTATTGATGGCTGGGTGTTAACATTGTGTATGTTAAAGGGCAGGTTTTGAACAGTTTTCTCTTCTTTATCAGTGACATTTTAAAATAATTTTTATTTACATGAGATGAACAATTTCATGTATTTCACATATACAGATAAATGAGCACCCCACCCTCCCTCGTCTTCCTTGCTTATTTTTTCTTTTAATTCTTACAATGGCATACTTTCACTTTATTTTGTAATCATAAGCTTAACCTCACACTAAATAAATAGTTCAACAAACAGTAAGAAGAAATAAAACCCAAACAAAAATTTCCTGAACAGTAGAGACAAGGGCTATAAACAATAACCAAATCTCAAAATGTCAATTTCACTCCTATACATTATATTTTTTGTACTTTATTCAATATATTGTGATACTGAAAGCTTTCTACAAAATTTTTGAGATCTGTTTATTTCAGGTAGATTTATAGAGTCTCAAATTATGTCAGGGCAAGCTTCTCTTTGCCTTGAGTTTTAAAATATTTCAGCTTTTCTTTTTCTTTGTTTCATAGTAAATACACTTTAGAATTTTATTATGTTCTCAAAATAATGCTAGTGAAACACCATTATAATTTATACCATTCTTTGCCCGATTTCTACTTTTAAAAACATGTTAATGCGTTTTATGGCCCAATTTGTCATTTAACTTAGTGAGTGCCCTATGATAGCATGAGAAACTGAGAAACATGTGTAGTTTTCTGATGCATTATTCAATAAATATTAACCAGATCAACTTGTCAATAGTTCTGCTCAGGTCACCTGTATCTACTGATTTTCTGTCTGCTTAATTATCATTTATGGAAAGAGAAACGATTCTCCAACTATAAAAGTGATTTGTTTGTTTCTTCAGTTCTATTAATTTTATTTCTCAGTCATGAATTTTGAAACCATGTTAGGTAGATGCGAATATAGGATCGCTTTGTACCCCTTGCAAAATCATCTGTGTGCTGTTTTGTAATGACCCTCCGTATCCCTGAAAATGCTTTTTTCTGAAGTCTGTTTGTATAAAGTAAAATAATTCATCCAGCTTTCTT